AAAAAAAAAAAAAAAAAAAAAAAAAACAAAACCACATTGAATAAAAAAAGAGAATGGGTGAGTTTATATTGATGCTAAATTGCTTTAAAGGGGGTCAGAAAGGAAAGCTGTTTACAAAAGAATGCCACCTAAAAGGAATACAAGAAAATCTCCTTATCATAACCACCAAGGTAATAACTGATTCAGGTGGGACTCATCAATGGATATGAAGCCACTGGCTGGGAGAATCCTGGGAAGGAGATTATTCACACCATCCCAAGCTATCACTCTATAGGCCATTCATCAATAACAAAGGGAAGAAGATACTTCAACCTTCTGATAATGGAGAAATCTGGGGGACATCACCTTGACCAGTTCACCAAACCTAACACCACCAATAACGGGGCAAATTGTCATCAGGCGCCTTCTAGTATGAAGCATCAAGGATACATACCTACAAATATTGTTCCCAAAAGCCTTAACATGAGTTGAATCATGAGGACATGACTGGACAAACCCACATTGAGAGAAATTCTGCAAAATGGGCTGGACTCTCAAAAATACCAAAGCCATGAAAGGTAGGAAAGAAACAACAAGGAATAGTTCTAGATTTAAGGCATATCAAGACTCACGACAGCTAACGGCCATGTGTAGTCCCCGATTAGGTCCGGCATTGAACAAGAACAACAACAATGGCCATGAAGGACTCTGGGATAAAGGTATGTCCATCAGATCCAATGGAGACACTCAAATATAGACTGTTTCACACAGCAGTATCATACCAGCGTTAAATTTCCCAGCTGTGAAAATTCTGTCGTGCCCGGTTCTGCAGGCAAATGCCTTGCTTTCAGGAAATATTACTTAGGAATGAAGTGACATTATGTCTACAGCGAATCCTTGAATAGTTCAAAAAAAAAAAATAGTTCACATACACAATAGTGCATGTGTATACCTGTGTAGGGAGACAGTAAGAGAGTGCAAATGAGAAAAATGTTAGCAATTGTAATGGTACACGTATACAGATGTCTATGGTACTAATGATTTTACCGAGATTTAAAAAATTCAAATTAAAGGAAAGAAGAAAAGAAGAAGCACCTACTATGAGCCAGGGACACAGGTGACTTCTATCTATCCACCACCTTTTCTCTTTTTTGTGTTAACAACTTTCACCCTTTTTCCCTACCACGTGGCTGCAGTGTGGGGGCTGCCAATCCTGGTGTCTCAAGCCCTGGAGTAGACACATGAGGCAGGCCTGGCCAATCAGGGTGCTCCATGCTACTGCCCACCATGACTGGTCAGGGATGATCTGAGCTGGGCCAATCAGAATCCTTCCCTGGGACTTTCTAAGTGAAACTTCCAGAGACGTTCCTTCTACCCAGAAATCAGGCAGCTGTAGCCTGTGAGCTACACTGAACTTTTCAGTGTCACTCATGACTTCATGAAGTATGAACCCACAGGTGGGCATAGCTGAGCGACCTGGAGGGAAGAGGGCCTGGCTCTTGGTTCTAAGTCCTGAGGTTCCAGGAACTGCCAAGGTTCCGGAAGTGCTGACTTCAGTTCTGTGGTGCACCTGTGGTCTCCTCTGCAAATAATGAGAAGGCAAAAAAGGTGTCAGGGGATGCGTAAGGCCATACTTTGTGGACAGCCACAAAGGACAGAGGAGATGGAGCAGTGTGTGTGTGTCTATGTATGTATGTATGTATGTGTGTGTGTGTGTGTGTGACGGGGGGGAAGAGAAAGAGAGAGAGAAAGAGAGATTAAGAACACATGCATTATCAGTGAAGGTTTTCTAAAAGAGAAGAAATTTGAGCTGGGCCCAGCAGGAGAGAGAAGTTTCCAAAAGGGGAAATATTCCCATGGAGGGGATAGGACACTATGGACAAAGTCCAAGAAGAGGGAATGTGCAGGGAACAGTCCTGAGACCATGATGGTCTGGTGTGGTGGGAGTGGCAGGAGGCGAGGCTATGCCATCAGGAGCAGACCAGGAAGAATTCTAAGGCCCTTCTAAGGAGTGCAGACCTGACCTCGAGGTTACAACAAGTTTTTTATTAAAGGAAAATCCTGATCAGACTTGTATTCAGGCACAGCATTGCCCCCAGGCCTCCAGAGCCAACAAGCTTGGGGGCAAGGAGGCAAAGGGATGAGTTTCCCAAGTGCACGTTCATCTATTTCCCCTGAATGACTTCCACTCAGCATAGCTATAAAATGGAATATTTGCATTCTCTCTATTGCTTTGTATTCTACAATTTGCAGACCACAGTTGGCAGAAAGATTGCTTAGGATACACATTAAGGAAGCAATTGCAGCAATCCTTCTTCAATGAGAGGCAGTGTGGTGGATGGTAAAAAATTCCCACTCTGCTGTCAGACGACTTATATTTGAAGCCCATCTCAACCATCTGACCTTAGGTGATTTGTTTAACTTATCTGAGCCTCAGTGTGTTTATCTGTAAAATGGGGGAAATAACTGAAACTATTCATAGGATTGTGGGCAGGATTAAATGAGATAGTCACAGAGTGACATCATCATGTCTGACATATCATATATTCTTTTTCATTGTCTATGATTGCTATTATCGTCTCATATCATCATCATCGTCATCGTCAATAGCTGGACCCCGTCCACTCCATCATCATCATCATCATCATCATCACCATCATCATCAATAGCTGGACCCCATCCATTCTATCATCATCATCATCACCATCATCATCAATAGCTGGACCCCATCCATTCCATCATCATCATCATCATCACCATCATCATCAATAGCTGGACCCCATCCACTCCATCATCATCATCATCATCATCACCATCATCCTCAATAGCTGGACCCTGTCTACTCCATCATCATCATCATCACCATCATCATCAATAGCTGGACCCCATCCACTCCATCATCATCATCACCATCATCGTCAATAGCTGGACCCCATCCACCCCCTGAATGCCTGCAGGGACAAGGGCTATTTCCAAAGGCAGCCCATTGCATCTGGTCCCTCCACTGAGCTGGAACCTGCTTCTGTGTATCTATCACCCACCCTCGCATCCTAGCAGTGCCAGGGCCCCAGGAGAGTGGTTCTGAACCAGATAAGAAAGCAACTCTCCTCCGCCCCTCCTGGATCCTGCTTTCAGCTCCCTGCTGGAAGAAGTCAAGGGCAAGCTGGGTCCGGCACCACTTGCATGTGTGGTATCCCATCCCAAGCTCTTGGTGACCCACTTGAGCATGTCCAAAGTCTAAGGAGATGCAGGGGCTCTTCATCGAGACAGTCACAACTTCCTGATGGTGGCCAGGAGAGGCTCTGACCCCTAACTGAAAACCACAGCAGGGACTGCTCAGGGAGAGCCTTCTGGTCTCCCTGTGGGCTTCCTGGAGAACCGAAGGCCCCGAGTGGCCAGCCCTGCAAGACCTCTTGCTTGCTTGTCCAGGTGTCCCTCTGTAGGTGGAGAGAGGGTCCCCTGTCTTGGGCTTTCTTTTACCAGTGTGGTCACCCTACACCAGCCCATTCAGTCCAGGGTTAGGGCAGAAGGACTGGGGTGGGGGATCACTCCAAACTCAGGCCTCCATGCTCCCCAAAGGCTGGTTCTCCTGAAGGACAGATCTTCAAGCAATTAAACCCCCTCCTCTTATTTGCATTCCCATCCCAGGCTGCCAGATTTGTATCAACATCCCCAGGGCAAGACAATCTTGTTTCCCCAACAAAACCGATTATGCACATCAGGCCCTGGGATTAATCACCAGCCACAGGGTTGGAGCCAATAAAAAAGGCAGAGATGGGAGGATGAAAGCAGGAAGGAGGGGGAGCCCACCCCAGTCTGTGGCAGCAGGAAAGGCTGAAGGCTGGGGTGGCCTGGGCGAGGGGCTACTTTCCTGCTGGCGGCAGGTCCACCCTTGCCGAGACCCCAGGCTCTCTCAGCTCTTCTGTCCCCCTACCTGGCAGTGTCTCAGCAGGGAAAGGCCAGTCAGGCTGAAGAGCTCCATTGCGTGGGCACAGATAGGAAGTGAAGAGAAGCCCAGAGGCCCTGGGTGGGCCTTCTCCGTGTCTCACCTGAGTTGCCCCCAAATAGATGTTCCCTCCTTCACTGATCCTAGGTTGCTGCAGACCCCACCCCTCCATTGGACCCAGGCCCCTCAACAAGAGCCCCCTGGAGATGGCAGGGTTAGAGAGAGTGAGGAGGGGGTCACAGTCCTCACAGCCACCGCTGCTATTAGTGAGCCCCTGTGCCCCGTCACCACCTCTGCTCCTGTGCACTGCAGTACAGACCACCGTCCGGGCAGTGCCCCTGGTCCACCAACCAACCATCCTCTGCAGGGTCAGCAAGGTGGGGCCATCTCACCTCGGGGCAGGGCTGCCTTTGCCACCCACTCCCGGAACTCCAGGCACCCACACTGTCAGGCAAACCCCCTCCCCACCTTGCCCTCTTCAAGGCAGGGCAGTGGCCCCGGCAGCCAGGAGGAGGCGGACGGCGCAGGTTACCTGTATTCCAGGGAGAACTTGGTCAGCTCCCTGTTGTTGTGGAGCCACTTGAACTCCAGCGGCCAGCTGCCCTCGGCCATGCACGTGAGCACCAGGCGGTTTCCTTCCAGGTGCACCTGTGTCCGCACAGGCTCCGTCTTGAAATAGGGGGACACGTCATCTGCAGAAACAGGGAGACAAAGCTGCCGGTGATCACCTGCTCACCTGTGTGCCCTGGCTCATTTAGGAACCTAACGCCCCTAGGCAGATGGAGCAGGTGCAGCCAGCTAACTTTCCCAAGGTCCGGTGGCTGGGAGGGACTTGAACTTGGGTCAGTCTGACTCCAAGGCTTGGTCTTCAGCATGAGTCCCCCACATCTGCCAACCAGAGCCCTGCCTCCTGCCTCCCCAGACCACGCTAGGATACTGCCCTGCTGCCAGCCCACACTCCAGCACCTTCTATCATTCTCTCCCAGCTGTGCTTCCATCCCATCCACTATGCTCTCAGGTTCTCCCTCCAGGGCAGGAAGCAAGAGGGGCACTTTTTGCGGCTCAGCCAAAGGGAATATCAATGTCATAAGGAGAACAGGGAGGTGGGTTCACATGGGCCATAGCGGGTAGAGGGTCTCCTGAGTCCTGCTCCCCAAGGCTGGGGGAAGTCCTTAAAGACGTCGAGCACAGTCCTCCAGTGAGGCCCCATGACCACTGCTGCCTGCTCCTTCCATCCTGGGCCCTGGGCCAGCCTGCCTCTACTTCTCCATTCACTCCAGGATGGCTGCCTGGTTGCCCAGATGGTGAGTGAGGGGCAGAAGGGTGGCTTCCCTCTCTAGGCAGTCACCCTCATCCTCTGAGCAGACAGCCTCATAGACCTCCCCGCCCCACCACAGTTCTCTCGACAGAGACAGTGAACTTCGCCCCAGACTCCATGAGACTGCTCCGTGGGCTGCTCTAGATGGAAATGGGGTCTCTGCCCTCCTGGTCAGTTGGGGAGAGGGTGGATGTGAATGCACAAGGGAGCCGATGGAAGGATAGGGGAGACGGAGGAAAGGGGAGGGGCTCTAAGCCGTCTCAGAGACGTCTGCCTTTTTATGGAAGGGGTGGGGCCGGGAGGCAGAAGGCAGCATCTGGTAACAATATCCACAAAGATGACAGCACCTGTTATGTTCCAGGCTGTTCTGGGGG